TACAACAATCATGAAAGGCATACATATACTCGATGAAGCTCACTATCAATGGTTGGAAAATATAATATAATTCCGGTTTTTTGGCATTTAAACATTTAAAAATATGAGAATTCTAAACATACATATCTTTTATCTAAAAATGATAAATTTTTTTAAAAAAAGACGGAGGCATGAAAAAGACGAAACTACCACTACCTGGTGAATATAATTCTTTTCAAATGAGCAAATGATGAAAAAATGATGAAAAAATACTATGAAAACATACATACAAGTACACAAATATTAAATGTCACTCATAACAGAGAGAGCATAAAATGAAGCTTTGCTCACCAATATATCATTTTTTGTCTCAAAAGTACCTTCCTTCATGTGAAGATGTATATCCTTCGTGTATGTATGTATAGCGACTTTAGCGACTGTTAAAACCATTTCGTTATGTTAATATGGAAAATAAGCTTAGCGAAATTTTTTGGTTTCATTTCGGCGCCATTTTGAAACCGTAAAACCTCTTTGTAACACTATTTTTTAAATAGTTGCTTGCTCAGATTTTAACAGCATACTTCAATTTTTACACTTAGTATTATCTGTTAATGATTTAACATTAACGAACAACACGTTTCGGTTAAATACCATATAAAAATTATTTCGATTACTGTTTTAACAATAAAATTAACGATACATTTATATGATTAAGTACACATAAAAAGTGGTTGAGCAGAAGCGAAGAATGTTCAGTGTGTTTCAGCCCTTAACGTAGTCGTCAGAAGCAAGAATATGTGAATAGCTACTTGGAGAAATGTACTAATCCTTGGCAAGTGTAAAACTGTGATTTTAGGGTTTCCCAACACGAAATAAGTTACAAAGGAATCGAGCGTAATTGAAAATTAATGCAATATAATATGTCCCAACACCTATGTATTTTGAAACTAAAAATTATTTTGTTGGGAAATATTTTTTAATTAATGACTGAAATTTTGAATCAATTGAATGACTTCAACGTCCTACTAAAATGCTTATGTACATTAATAGAAGCATAAACACAATACATGTGTACGAAAACAAATATTTCAACATGTCAACAAGTAGACCGAAAATTTTGCCCGCAAAAAATTGTCATTTATTTTTTTGACGACATTGATTTATGACATCAAATTTCATTTATATACATACACGTATGTACATATATGCGTTGAGTTAAAGCTAAACGTTCAATGGAGCAACTGCTTCTTGAGGTAATTCATTGTGTGAAGTTATAATCTCAAGTGTAATTTGTATGAAGACATGTATGTATGTATGTATGTAGGTATAAAAGCGAAATAACTTTGCATAGTTTTTTTTTTAAGTACTAATATTTAAAATTTAATATATGTAAAGAATGTTTATCAAAAATTATATTATTCAACATTTTTATTCAAAAGGAATTATAAAGCAATTTTCATGAAGGATTTTTCATATAAACTAACGAAAATTATTAAAAGTAAAACCCTTAGTTAATGAACACTTGTTCTGTAACGGGATGCAATGATGTTGGAGTCTGCTATTTATAAATCTTGTTGAAGAACTATTTTTTTTGTTGTTCAGTGTATTTCATTATGTTTTCTCGAACCTAAGATTACTAAGAAAATAACTCTGGAAAAACTTTCTCTAAGATTCCAAGTCTATATGCATATTATTTTCATTTCCTATTTCTTAGCATCTTAGACTGGTGGCAATTCCTTGCCATTTAATGGTGTTCTAGCATTAATTCTTTTTGAAATTTATTCAATAGATTGTATTGTTATATAATATTTACATATTTTTTAAATTTTTCAATGTGTACATATGTATTTATATATATATTTTTTTTTTTTTGATTCGCTTTCATTCCAATACAATTTTGTGAAAAGATGACAGTTCGAAATAAGTGTACCCTCAACTGTCCGCTCACGCTGTTAGAATCCGAAATTATGTACGCGACGAGGGCCACTTTCACGGGTAACTTAATTCGAAAAACACTATTTAAACAAAAATAACCAAAGGTGTTTGCACGAATTCTGAAAGATAATTCTCCTTCGGTTCCATTTTTTCCATGAATAAAAAGTCTACATTTGAAAACGAGGCTTTCATAAGCAAATAGAACAACGGCATATATAACCGTACATTCGTATATGTATTATATATATAATATATAAACCTAAAATGTACATACATATACATTTATTGAATTATCTGCCCAACTATTCCCACAGCCATCTAAACCTAAAGCTCACAGTATTGTCTTTCATCTTTGATTTAAACTCGTTTCTCACAAATGTCAAAGTTATCCATTTATAGCACGAATATAGTGTTCCTTCAACCATTCATAGAGTATAAAATCGTGACCGAGTAGACCGTTGCACGCAAATGACAAAATTTGTGTGCAAAACTTGCATACATATTTACACATGTACAGACATATCTATGTATGTATAAGATTATGTACGTATTGGGCATTGTTGTTGCAATAAAAAAAACGTGTTGATTTTTCCACAAATTTTGTATGCATAACACCGCATCAGCGGTGTGGTTGGCAGTGTATACTATCAAGCGGATGGTCATGGATTCGAAACTCACAAAAAAATAATTACGAAAATTGTGGGCACCGCTCGGTAGAGATTGTCATCCCCTCTCATTGTGCTTCTGCCACGAAATAAAAGCTTCTCATAAATCCATCAACAGTTCACATTTTTTCAAATCTCGCGCGATTCCACTTTCAGCGAAAATCCCCGAGCTCATTAAAACTAGTCTAACCTTAGAGTTTATCACAGATAACTTCAACAATGAAAACAGCTGGAAGTTTTAACATACGCAAAAAAAAAAAAATTTCATACTCCTTTATACTTTGGTGCTGAAAATAGACATACATATGTACATAAACATGAGTTGGTTTAATGCTTGAAATGATTTCGAGCCCAGGTGTTCAGTCAAAGAAGCAAGCAAGCGCTATAAGAAGTGTGCGAGGTAACCGCTAACGACAGTGTTAAAAAATAAATTTAATTCAATAAAAATGAGAAAGAATTGCTTTTACCAGCCATACCGAAGCCTTTATAACTTTCAAGACCATATCAAATTTATGGTGTTTCATTTTGGGATTGAAAAATTGGTTGAACTCGGCTATATGATAAAGTTTTCCGATTTTGTTGATTTTCGATGTCAAGGTTTCTTTATGTATAAGCGCCTGTAGTACCGAGGTTCTCCCTTTCAGAAGCTCTTTTGATAGATTTTTACCCAAACCTCATTTCTCTATAGACATAAAAGATGTTACATACTCCCAAATAAAGAAATTCTCTGAGTGTTCACTGAGCAGGGTTGAGTAAAAATTGTATAACAGTTGTTTATTTTTTCAGTTAAATTTGAATCTGTGTATTTTTACTCCCATTTGGTTTTACCTAAGTATTTTTAAAAAAATGTCAATTTTATGGCATTTTTAATTTTTTTTAACACTGATATAGTTCTATATGTGCCAAAGCCGTTAAACCATAAAAATACCAATAATATTTATTGAACAGAGGAAGAAGATTTTCAGGAAGGGTGATTAAAATACATTATTATAAAATTTTTTCAATTCCAGGCATATTTTGGAAGACCATTATTTTTCCTTTTAAATGTGACTAACATTTAAACTTGCGCTTTCAGCAGCTTAAGAATGCATTATTGTCATTGCGACATTGCGACTAGCAAAAATCTTGCTTCGCAATTTGCAGTTTGAGGGCTCATTTTGTGGGCACAGCAAGCTAGTAAATTAAGAGAAACCAACTTGTGAAGTACAATACTAAAGAAAATAATATTTTATGCCTTTAGTTAGCATTGAGGCGTGGTATGCGAATGATGATTATATTCTACTGCCATCACATTTTCATTTAACGAGAATTTTTACTATTCAATTGAATCGTTGATATCGTAGTAAGTTTAACAAAATTACATTTGATAGTAAGTTTTGTTTTGAGGAAATATCAGTTTTTTTCATACTCATACTTTCATGCTAATTTTTACTGGTTTTTTTGCCTCACCGAACGCAATTCAGTAAAATTTAATAACAATTTTTACTGCCCATTAGGTCACTGAACAGGACTATAATGAATAGTACTTATGTACATACTTCGGACCAAAGTTTAGGTCGATATTTACTATAAATATGATATAATATCATATTTATTGTGGAATTGACTTCGAATCGATTTGTAGACTGTATGTTATTAAGAGTTTACCAAAAGTTGTATTTTGCTTGGGGCTGAGATTGTAATTTCATTTGTAGGGGCAAACGAAGTTGAAAAATTAGAGAGCAGAATTCTGAGTGACCAGAGTAATCCTCTGCTCTATCAGAATCTTTAGGAGGTTGATAAATGAAATTATATAAATCTATGCTTTTGATTTTTTAAATATTATTTAATTCATATTATTTTCCTCAATATGGCCGAAATAAAAATGCGTTTTCCAAGGTATTAAAAGAAGTTGTTACGCCCAGGACATTGCAAGAATAGATGTGCACGCATTGGGCATGAATTTCGGAAGGCTCGTGTTCCTGCTTTCGTTCTAACATCCAAAAAATTATAGAAAATGAATTCTAAATAAAAAATTAAGGTACATTTCCGAGTGAATTTCTGACATGAAATAAAGCTCCTCATAAAAAACATCAGCCGTTCGGAGGCGACTTAGTATAAACTGAATGTCAAGACGAAAAACCATAAATTATAGGACGAGCTCGGCTGAAAATCGTTTTAGCGGTTAAAAAGTGCTAATAATATACATACATATATATATATGTATAAACGATACGCATGTAATAGTCTTACAGGAAGAGCCTTATGTTATACATAGAAAGGAAAAGATAGAAAGGAATAGGAAAATTTCCCAAGAATCATTTTCCGATAAACAAGTGTATAGCTACTTCAGTTAGTGCGAATTCGTCTTTTTACAATACTTACAATGTAGAATGCATAAGGTGTACTTCACTCTATTAAAGCGTATATTCTCTATTACAGATGATTTTCAAAGTCAGCATATACACACTCCTTGCTATAGTAATAAGCAATAGCCTAACTTATGGATTAACAAAAGTTTCCAGTTCGATTTATCATATTGTACACAACGATCATCCAGCTCATCATGCGTTTCGATTTCTTCAAGGAAATGGGCCCAGATATCAAAGTCTCCCGCCTAGCCCAACACTAGTGTCGAACGTATTACAAGGGTAAGTAATATTGCAGCTTAATCTGGCGAGTGTGCATACAATCATATCGTTCTGGCACAATTCATATCTACAAAATCGCAATTTTCGAGTACTTTTTATAATATAAGATCATTGAGGAAAATATAGCTCATTCAAACTAAAAAAGCGGAAAACGTGAAGCAAGAAGAGTCTGGCATCGAACATAGTCTTATGAAGTGGGAATAACAGACTGATCTACCTACCAACCCCCATATCCAAATATTCTTTATGGAAAGTTAATAACAAATAAAAGACCCTCACTTAGAAAACCCCATTACTTTTTGGTGAAAACTCCCTCGGAGAAATCTGAACTTTTTATTCACCATCTAACAAATGATTTCTCCTTCACATCGTCAAAAGTGTCTCCTCTATGGATGCATTTGCTGACGAAGCTCCAGGATATGACTCCCTCACTGCCGAAGCTTTCGGAAAGTTTTCTGACAAAGACTTCAACCTTATCATTCCCCATCCTACCTAAAAAGAATGATTGAAAAAAACGATCTCAAGTGATTAACTCCTAATCACCAATTCGGTTTTATAAAACAGCAATCTATTTTAAACAAAATTGTATTATCAGCAACACCAGGCCGCAAATGCGAATGTTTGATACCATGAGATATTTTGTTTTGTCCTTGTTTACTATCTGACCCATTCGCCTCGCTTCGAGGAGACAGAGCTTAGGGCACGGTTGTTAAGGTCGATGATAACAAAGTCTTCGGAATACGCCAGCAGTTGTACAGTAAAGATTGTACCTTGTCTATTGAGCTCCGCAGGTTTTATTTTTTTCTCCAGAATCAAATTGCAGAAATAACATGGTAAATAATCATCCTGTCTGAAACCTCTTTTGGCTGAGAATGGCTCGGAGAAAGTCTGACGGCGATTCTGGGGTTGCCCAGCGCCAGTTGATACAGTCGTATAAGTTTTACGGGATATAAAATTCAGACATAGTGGCGTGGAGGCAGCTCCTTGTCGTGCTGTCGAAGGCATCTTTGAATTTCAAGAAAAAGTGATGTGCATGGATTCCTTTTTCAGAGATATTTTCCTAGAATGGTGGGCGTGACAAATCTAGCATGACCCGAATAAGGTTCAATCAGTTTGCTGATGGTGGGCTTTAGACTTTCACAAATACGCTCGATTTTAGCCGGCATGTTTTCGTAGCACGTAGTGATTTTGAGATGCCGCTCTACAGTTCTCTTATGTCAAGTTTGCTGATCGGTGCTCAGAAAGCAGGTGTGCAAGTCTGATAATAAACTGCTCGACTGTCTCTTGTGATTACAGCTTTTCTACGTAGAAATTTCCTTGTGTTCATTACAGAGCGTTCTTTCAGGTACGTATCTTCACTGAGGAAGATAGTGATTCAGGTTCATGTTGGGTCCTTGAAACGTACGGACATCTATACCACCCACATCTATAAAGACAATTTGATTGATTTGGTTGTGCGGTTTCCGGTCTTGCGACAGATTCATGAATTTTCTTCTCGGGAAATTTGGTACTACACACAATCATATATTGGACCCCGGTTAAGTCGATCAGCCCTCAGCTCGTTTGAGGATTTTCCGTGATAGAAGCTGAATTTCCCGACTGTTATCCCATAAAATCCTTCTTGCCTCACTCTGACATTATAGTCGCCGCCGAGGCGTAGGCGCTAATCAACGAAGTGTGAAAATTTTTAAATTGATATGGAGTCTCTCGCCAACATAAATCCGCCACCAAATTTGCGTTGTCTTATATTATATATTTATTAAATTTAAAAAGGAGTTAACACTACTGGCACAAAAACAAAAATTACAAAAAATTTGCTCGGGTGTAGCGTGTATTTGGGGTTTTTGTTTTTTCAAAAGCTTTCAAGCTAAAAAAGAGGTTTAATTTCATAAAAACGGGAATATTAAAACACCAGACGCTTCCATGGCGCAAATAATTTAATCTAAAAAAGAATTTTAAAAGAGTTAACAAACTGCTTAATCACAAAATGGATCAAAAAGAAACGCTCTATGTGTGGGTTATGTATGTAGTGTTTGAGTTTTTCGCGAACAGACAGGAAAATGATTTTGTTTCAGAATATCTAGAAGTTGTGGTAATTTTTTGCTTTAAAGCAAACTATATACGAGATGTCAGACTCTCTTCTCATCAAATGACAACTCAACGACCAGCTACACGTATGCACAATCTAAAGAACGCTAGGCCGATGGAAATGCTGATTGCAATTGGATATTTATATTCTATATTCACATTTTAGCATTAAATTTTACAATCTGATTTGTTACTGCTATTAATTTATAACACAATTTTCATAGGAATCCAGTTTTTGGCACAACACCCGCAGTTCAAGGAAATCCATTTGCACAGTTTAATCCTGCTTACGGTGCTCACTTTCCTACTGGCGGTACTGCAATATGTCCTATGCCTGTGGCTAGATGCGAAAAATCAGCATATCGGTCAATGGACGGCTCATGTAATCACCTTGATAATCCACAGCTAGGAATCGCAAACTCAAGGTAACTTATAAACTTACGTACTTACGTTCTGCATACTTAACATTTGAAATATGGTTTTAAAACCTTTCATTTACATTTTATTTAAATTAATATAATATTAAAAACTATTAAATTGGCCAACCCAAAAAAAATTGAAATGGTCGTTTTCACCATAACCTCTTGGTTAACCACATCATTTTAAAAGACAGTGCGTCCGCTGATTTGCTCCTTGGCGTCATCTTCTTTACTGGCGTAGACACCGCTGACGTAACCATAAAATTAATATCAACGCCACCACCAAGCTTTGGTACATGATGAATTTCATTTCTATCTGGATTCACCACGTCTAAAGCCACATTGGTAAGGTCCCATCAGTTGGTTGACGGTGGGCTTTGGTATTTCACACAATATACTCGGTAGGGCTTATATGCGATATCGCCATTCAGCAGAAATATTCAAACACGTGAACGAAAGCGTAGGAAATGAGTGTAGCCCTGCGACTAGAACTGCATGCCTTGAAATTTGATAAATAATTTACGTTGTGGATAGAAATCAAAACCAATGCCGAGTATTATATATGAGAACGTACTATAAAAAATTTTAATACACAATTTCACCTCTCAAAATGTAATTCTCTGTATCTAAACTATTTTGATAAAAAAAATTATATGAAATTCTTAAAGTTATAGCTACAGATAGGGGTTTTTTTTGTTATTTTAATTAGCGACCATTAGAATAGTGTTGCCGTGGTAATGGCATGTGTGGACCGTGAGGCTTTATTTTGTGTGCAGCAGCAAATGGTAAAGCTTTACAAGCGAAGAGGTTAAGTACAAACTGTGTACTTGATGTCTGAATTCAAAGCTAACACGCCGAAGTCATAGCACATGTAGGACCTCATAATTTGCTTTCTAAATACCAATTTCAAAATAATACCAATACTGCAACAATATTACTTAGCTTCCCAAGATAGCAGTTATTTCAGATACCTATTTGTTATCGTATCCTAGACAATCCTGGTTCGTCCTTTGCTTATTTTATACTTCGCATATAATCTTTTAAATTCTTTTTGTTTTCTTTTCGTGTTTTAATATAAAAATTTAATATGATGAATCACTTGTGAAGAGAACATGATGAACAGCTAGAAAAAGTTAAGAGCAACCGGCGGAGGGGTTTACAAGTAGGTGTAGGTATTGACTCGTCTTGAAGACTATTTTGCGAATTGTATGGGTGATATATTTTTTGTGAATGATGATAACAATGAACAATCAACTTCAACCAGTTTAGAGAGAGTTCTTGAAGTGTCAAACGAGGAATCTTTTCGAGTAGATGTTCCATCAGTAGATTATGTGGCAATTATCGGAATTATAAATTCGACATCGACGGCCACCACGACAAAAAAGGCAACCAAAAAATCGTCTGCTTTATGTATGTATGTGTACTTGTTGCCTTAAAAGTCTACGATGACCATTTAAATTTCTGTTCTTTTCTTAATCACTTTCGCTTAAAAAAAACAACTCGGATTCAATGTCTTTATTTAAAAATCGGTTTTATAGATTTAAGCAAACTTCACAGCCTGAAAATATGATTTGAATTTCAAAAATATAATAGTAAGCCCGATGTTAAATCTCAAAATATTGGCCTTTTACATAGTAAGTAGTTTTACATTAAGACATATATAGTAATAGTAAATTAAAAATGCACACAATAATTGATAAATTACATGCATAAATCTTACCGAAGAATCATCCGATATATTGATGAAATCCGTTCCGTGCATTTTGATCCGAACAGACAGACTCGGAGGAGGACTTCAGTTTATTATATTATACTTAAAGATATCTACATTTATTTGTATATATATGTATATAGCAAAGAATACGTTTCGGAAATAAAGATCTTGAATTCATGTGTCTGTATTCACAATTTGTTATTTTAGATATGGCCGACTGCTTTCACCAAAATATGGCGATGGAGTTTCATCGCCAACACGTTCAATAACTGGAGAAGATTTGCCGAACGCACGTCTTATTTCACTAGTCGTTTTTGGAGAAAGGGATGTTCCAGATCCACAATACACACTAGTCAATATGCAATGGGGACAAATAATGACACATGACATGAGCATGCAAGCAGGCGGAACACAAGCCAGTAAGTGTTAATGCAAAAACACAATTTTATTACCTTTATTATTAATATTAAAACAAACAAATAAAATATATATACATATATATATGTCCGCGAGTATCCTCGTCACGGCCGCCTGGATGTCCTCAATCGACTTCGTTCTAAAAAGTCAAAGGGTGACATTTTGGGCGTATAAGGCGGTTGTTGCAACACGGCGATTCCTTTAGAGGCCAAATACTGGGACACTCTGAGGGCGGTGTGGCAAGGCGCGTTGTCCTGATGAAGGATTCAGTCACGAGCGATACCTGGGGGCACCCTGTTGACTAGTTGTCGCAATCTTTAGAGTAGTTGGCGATAATAGACTTGATTTATGGTTTGCCCCGGTGGAAGAAATTATTTGTGGACGATTCCACGGCTATCAAAAAAGGCAATAATCATCGTTTTCAATTTCGACTTGCTCATGCGAGCTTTTTTCGGGCGGGGTCGTGCGGAGACAACCATCGAAACACCTTGGCGATAGTATACTTGATTTACGGAATCGAGCGCGCACATGCAGCGCATTCGTGTGAGTCTGCATCTTATTGATCTTCCGCTTCGCGTCTCCACTTCCACGCTTTCACACCCCTCCTTAAACTCTTTATGCCATCGAAACACCTGGGAACGACTAAGAGCACTATCACCATGTATTTTTACAGTTTTAGCGTCCGTTTCCGAAGCTGTTTCGCCCAATTTGGCGCAAAATTTTGTCGCGACGCATTGCTCTTGATTTCGTTTTTCCATTTTCGTGACGAGCACCACAAACATACGTTTACTCAACACGACACTGCAGGCGAACTAAACAAGCCAGAGCGAGGGCAAATATATCAATGGAGAAAAAAAGGATGCCGAGAGTAGGGAAAGGGAATTTCAAGGTGACAGGGTTACCACAACGCGGCAATATAACCAGTCTCATTACTTAATTGTCACACCTCTTATTCATATAAATGTGTGTAATTAACATTTCTAAATTATAATTTTAATGTATACAGGAAAACATCCAACTCGTTGTTGTACTGATGATGGCCGCCTAATTGCCTCAGCTGATATACATTCTACATGCTATCCAATAATTGTACCGCCTAACGATCCCGCGTATTCCCAAGTAGGCACTGAGTGCCTCGACTTTGTTCGAACTCTCACCGATCGTGATATTAAATGCCTTTACGATAATGGTCCTGCAGAACAATTGACTGCTGTAACATCATACGCCGACCTATCTCTCATATACGGAAATTCTATACAACAAAATAGTGAAATACGGGCGTTTCAAGGTGGTCGTATGTTAGTTGATCAAAGGAATGGGGCCGAATACCTTCCCCCATCCCGCAATGCTACTGGTGACTGTGACGCCGCTCCACCTGGTGAGGTTTGCTATCAAGCTGGAGACATTCGTGTAAATCAAAACCCAGGATTAGCCATTTTGCATACTATTTTACTGCGGGAGCATAATCGTATTGCAGATACCCTGGCTAAACTTAACCCCCACTACAACGATCGCACATTATTTCAAGAAGCCCGCAAAATAAACATTGCTCAGTATCAACACATTAGTTACTACGAGTGGTTGCCTATATTCCTTGGAGCAGAAAATATGCTAAAGAACCGTCTTATTTACGAAACGTCGACTAAAAATTTCATCAACGATTTTGACAGTTCAATTGATCCATCGGTCCTGAATGAACACGCTACCGCGGCGTTTAGGTATTTCCACACACAGATAGAAGGCCGACTAGAGTAAGTAAATTTTAATAATATTTATCTGTATACCATATCACGGGTTTTCAGAGTTAGGATTTGTTGACGCAATATAAAAAATTTTTATGAATTCTAATTATATAAATAATACATTCATTATACTTACATAAATTTATTAGCCGTGCTCCTACATAATGCGTGGTCCGACTTCCATACCCACATAAATTTCTGTGAATTGAATCCGAGTGCTCTGTTGTAAGTGAATGGAAAAGTAAAGGGATAAAAGTTTTCCAACTCCACTGACTCGATGACTTTTTCATCTAATTATTATTCATAAAATACACATGAATTAAATACATATGTAATATAATTGGAGATTTGCCGAGCTCCGCCGAAAATGTGTAGAGGGACCAACAGTTTATTCTAGCCGTCTACGAACGGCGGATGAATTTTCCTCAGGAACTTTTATTCCATGTCAGAAAAGCACATTTCCTGCCGAGAGGTGTCGGCTAACAGAAAATAAATTTCGTAAAATTTTATAAGTAAAATAATTTTCTGTAATTTTAATTCAACGCCAGAATGGCAATACGCGATGTTAATCATTCAGCTACTGATTAAAGTAAATTGTAGGCTCTACTTCTAAGGTATGCAGTAGTTTGATGCAGGGGTGAAAAAACGGACTAAATAAATTAAAAAAAATATCGGTACGTTCTATAGACAATTTCTTTTTTTTGCGATTTTCTGAAGCATTACACACGTTTTGCTAATATTCAATATCTTTTTTCGGATCGCTTAAGAACATTTAAACAAAAGTGGTTTGTTCATCGAACGCCACCTATCTCCGTGTTGTTAGACTCGCTCAATAAGAATTGTTTTCTCGGTATTAGAGAGTGCACAGCTAAAAATTCTATTCAACAGGTCGAAAAACATGTCCGTGGATAGGTGGTGTTAGAATAAATAAATATTTTAACTTACAGTTTGGTTTCGGAACTCCGATCCGTTTTGGGATCATTGAGGTTAAGCGATTGGATGAACCGGCCTTCTATAATTGAAATCGGCGACAACTTCGACTCTTTAACTCGAGGGCATGCAACTCAACCCGAGGAATTAACAGACATAAATTTTGACCGAGAGGTATGTACAGATAAATGTATACCATGAAACTTATAAACAATCTATGTATATCTCAGTAAGCATTGGGAGTATGATCTGGTGAAACATCCCCTCACAAGCGAAACATGATAAGAAAGAACGTTTCGGTTAAAGTTTACCTATTTAAAAAACTGTAGCCGGCCCACTTAGCTGGCGTTCTACTCCCAAAAGTATACTAAATTTATTTTAAATTAATTTTCCTTTGGCTTCGAAAGTATTTCATAGAATAAAAGCTCTTCATAAATGATCTCTTGATTTTGAAAGTGGTATAAGTCATATTTTCCTCGTTTCGTGATATTTAGAGTTGTGCGTTTTAAAGGCTTAAAAAATATTTTTATTTTGTTAAATATGATGCCAGCAAAAGTGTTTATTATGAATGTGAAATTTATAACCATTTTAAAAATAAAATATAGTTTTGGGGTTGAAATGACTTATATCACTTTCAAAATTAACTGCATGACTTTATAAATGAATTAAATTCGGAATTGTCATCCAAAGGAAGTTTTTTTAACCATTTTATATGGAGCATTTTTTAGAAGTATTCTCCATTGTATTTTTAGCCAAGACAAAGCTTCTCCCATTGGTGCTTTTCTTTCTATTATTCGTTGATTCTTTTAGTTGTTTTGTTGAAATGAAATCCATCTGAGCCATACATTCCTCTATTAAATTATACTAATGCTCAGGGATGTATAAATAATTGCATTTTTTTAATTTTGTTTCTTTATAGCGATTATTTGGCAAAAAAGATGGCTGGATACCATAAATTTATGATTAACTGTTTCATATTAAAGCTATGTTAATGTTAATGTGAATCGTGAATTTCCATGAGATTCAACTTCCCGTCTTCATTACTGGATGCTTCAATTTTTAGTTTTAGCGAATCACACTCTTAGCACGTGTCTTTACGAGGAGCATGAAAATTTAAATAGAATTCCGTATTCATGTATTATTGTAGTTTCAGCAATTTTTTCAAATACATTTTTCGAATATCTAAGTCAGCACTTAGATACTTTCGACCGGAAGTGCGATGTGATCTCGTGGCTCTCGTTATGGCTCTTATATGCTGGAAAACTCAGAATATGTTCTCGTATCACTTTAATTTTTTCTCCATATGATTTTTAAGATGAACCAGCCTTTTTGCCACAACCATCCGTACCAGGTGTTTTAGCATTTAAGACACGGCTTAATATTCCTTTAGATATTTTGAAAGTATAAAAAAAAAGTTTTGCAAATAGAAACTTCTGAATTCCGTACATCTAGATGAAACTTAAAACTGCATTTTCTCATATAACCTTCGTAATTTCTGGATCGTCTTTGTTGTAGTGATTGTTTTCGAACCAAACCATCCAGAAAAAAATTCTGTCTTCATATCCGATTAATTTCCTTTACGACTCACATGATGAGACTCTTATTTACGTTGATTTCGTATTCTCTTTCTTGATTTCATGTTGCTTTCTTCCAATTATAAGGGTTTCAAGTTCACTGAACTGATTCTTTAACTATAAATAGCACGTTTTTACATTAAAAGGATTAATCCTCATCATATCTGAACTGCTGTCTGAAGACATGAAAAAACTACAAATTATTTTGCCAAACTTTGTGAACAGACTGATTTATACCACTAACAAAAAAATAGTAACTGTATTTTGTTTTATGGTATACCGCTAAACTCTTCAGATCATGTTATTATATTTGGCTTTGACATGAAATTGCTGATAAACTAGATTATTAAATTTCTTGACTTATACCACTTTCAAAATCAAGGGCTCAATTATCGTTCGGCCGAATTTACAGAAAACTCAGTTTTATAATTGCGGTACCCCGTCGGCATGTAATGTCAAAGCCCCCGAATGTATTTCTAACATGAAATAAGAATCTCCTCATAAAAATCCATCGGACGATGGTGGTAACTTATAATAAACTGTAAATGGCTTGAGCTCCAATTATATTCTATACTCATATTTCTCATGCTAATATCGGAATTACTGCATCTAAAAATATGTGAAAAATTTCCAATGTCCTCGCCGGATCATACTTTAATGTTAAATTTCAATTAATTTGATTATTACTAATTAATATTTTGAGCAGTTAATTCAAAATGATTATCATATTCTTCCTTTTTTTGCAGATAAAACACTTTTTACTACGGCGAAACATGCCTTTTGGCGGTGATCTGAGAGCCATCGACATCCAGCGAAACCGGGATCACGGGTTAGCTTCATACAACGATCTAAGAGAGTTTTGTGGGGTCAGACGAGCCCAAACATGGGAGGATTATAGTGATCTTATTGAAGTCGATGTATGTATACCATATTATTTAATTAAAATTATGTTGATGATACAAATGTGTATGTAAATGCGTTTGAACATACATATGCGCGAATCTATTGTTTTCATAGGTTATAGAAAGAATGAAAACTCTGTATTCAAGCCACGATGATGTTGATCTAACCGTAGGAGGAGCAGTAGAAGCACATGTAGAAGGTTCGCTTGCTGGCCCTACTTTCCTTTGCATTTTAACAGAACAGTTTTATCGCACACGTGTTGGCGATCGCTTCTGGTATGAAAATGGTGACCCATTAACGGGTTTCACAGAAGGTAAGATAACAGTTTTTTGAAACTAAAATAATGGTCTTTACTTAAGGTTGCCAAAGAAATTCAAAGAAATAAACCTTGCATACCAATAATCAAATAATCTATATATATATATATGTATGTGCATGTACATATAGCTACATTGACTTAATTAATAATAGTATATATCTTATTGCCAAAATTTCCACCCTACCTATTCCACCTATTTCGGCTGTTAATATAATTTTTTTGGGTAGATTGGGTGAATGTAATCAATATTAGGAGAATGATTATTAAAATAATTACATAAATATCTGGAAGGGTCAAGCGATTCATAAAGATCAAAATATACGCACCATCAAACAAAAAACTAAAATCGTAAAACAAAAATAAGTAAAAAAATTGCACATCCATCTGAATCCTTTGGCTACCCCAGCCAAGGGGCTACTCTATTTTATCTTAGATCTTAAGATCTGATAACTAATTGTGAGGCTCATGATGTCATAGCAAATTCAGTAAATAAATAAAAAAAAACTTACAAATAAAAATTTGTTCATTACGACGATTTTAATATAACTAGACGATGAGTGAACATGTGGTATAGATGTGTCCTCTCAATAATTTTATGAGATAAACGGACATTTTATTTTGCATATTCAGTTTTTAAATTGTTACGTTCTTTTTTGTTCCGAATATTCTTAGCAAATTGATTTTTTGCAAAGTTCTGTAAAACCCACAGAATCAAAAATTGCATACTTATTTATTGCGGCAACATAGACGAGGTGGTTGAAATTTTTGCAATACTATGAAAAGCATTGTTCATACTCAAGGGTGTTAGTTTATAGCCGAAAAAAAGATATAGTAAGACTAAAATCTTGCCTTTAAGACTACATTTTTCATAAAAACTGATCATTTATCCTCATTATGTCAAACGCAAACACACTAAAGCCATAGAGCATTGCTTCAGGGTACTGGATCGCTATGAAGTGTACCCCACTCCCGGGGATTAACTTTTTTAAAATTTGGTTTCTTTCTTTAATCTGAAAGTTTTAACATTAAAACTATTTGCATATCGTCTCTATGAAATTAAAAAAAGTTTTTGATTTATTGTATTATGGAAAATAATAATAAACATTTGCAGAACAACTGGCTGAAGTCCGCAAAGCCACCATGGCCCGCTTATTGTGCGATAATGGGAATCAAATCTCTTCAATGCAGCCAAAAGCTTTCAAAACTGTTTCAAAATCGTAAGTAATAAATCTACATTATATGGATGAATATACATATGAACATATATTGAATTAAAAGTATTAAATGAGCTGTTTTAAAAAATTTTCTTCATAATTAGCGATTTTTTTTTTTTTTTTTGATTCAATGATTCATATTAATACCCAAGAACAGAATATGTGAAAATGTAATGTAAGTAGTTGTTAGTCAACTTTCTGCAAAGTTCGATATTTACTTTGTACAGTCTTGAGAGGAGAAAAGCTAATACATGGTCCTAAAACAGCTGATATCAGCTGATCAAAATACTTTTATACCCAGGGATGAGATTAACAGCAACAAAATTTACACGCCTCAAAGTGAAAACAGGATTAAGATCTCAATTAATTATTTTTGATTAAAAGTAAAATTTGGAAATAAATAGAAGCATATGTATATAACATATATTTTCTATTGAGTTATTAAATATTGCAGCACTGGTAGTTTTGATTTGATCGCCAGTTACAGCCTTAAATAGATATATTTTCCTATTCTCACTGTTACCGGTAATGTAAATTTTGTTACTTTTTTAACACCCGAAATTGAATTTGGTATTCCGGCGAACTGGTTAAAATGATTGAAAAAACTTTGGCAGCACTGTTTTTTTGTCCATGTCAAATTACATTTGCCAGTTGATAAAGTAAAAAGAAAAATATTCACATCGAAATGGAAGACGGTGCACAAAAAAATTAAAAAGTTTTATTAATTTGTTTATTAAATCATAATTATTTGAACCTAATTATGGAAAATATGCCTGAGCAACAAAAAAAAAGCTGAATAAAAACGCTATCTTACAAATTAAAGGTCTATTTTTGAATCTCGAAAACTTCTTAAAATACGTCTTTTTGCTCTTTTTTTCTCATCTTCAATGAGTTCCAGGCCTAAAACATGCCTACCCATTTTGGTTTTTTATATTTTCTTAAACTTACAAAACAAAATCAAATAGCAGATATTTTTGTTACCTCCTATTTCGGTGGTAACAAAATTTACAGGGTGACGGTGAACTCATAATACGAAATAGTAACAAAATTTACTGAATGGTAAATTTTAATACCAAAGTAAATTTTGTTGTATTTTGTTTTGTTTTGTTTTGAGTAGGCCTGTTAACGTCAAATAAAAAATAGTTTGACTGGTTTCAGAGCGTACCGCAATAATTTAATATTGCGGACGGCACATTATGTAAAGTGACTTTTTAACAAATTTAAAACTTTCTATTATTTTTTATTATGCTTGCAAGCAAAATATAAATTTTTTCAGGTCACAAGTTTCACTTTGCATTAATTACATTAATAAAATTAATGTTTCACTTACTCGCTTTAACTTAGTAAATTTACTAACAAATGGAAATTTTGCGGTTTTGTTCAAAAATCGGGGAAATATAGCTACATTGCTACAAGGCAAACTCGCTATTCGAGTCTAACCCCGAATTTGGTTTTTAATTCCATTCTATTGCAGTTTCTTTTGCTTATGAATTTTCCCAAATTGATAAGACCGTGTCTTTTTGAAGCGGAGAGATAATGCAGATCGATTAGCGAAGAGTAAACACAAATAAAAACTCCCTCACGAAAAAAGAAAGCAAATAAACAAAAAACTCTTCGAGGATTTTTTATTGCAGAAAACGCAAAAACATCGGTGCCTGCGCTTCGTGAAAGTTTAAATTTTAGTAGTGTTTTGTCTTTTAAGCATTTTACAGCCTGTACAGTAAGAAAACTTCGCGTCTTTTTCCGGTTTGAGCTCACAGTTGTGATCGCGCCATCGATTTCGTTTTCATTTCAGTTGACATTTGCAATATATTTCATAAAAAAAACGACAAGGGCAAAGAAGCATAGCCATTAGGGAGGTTACTTTATAGTCTCTACAATGCTTTTGACTGAGCAAGAATTTATCTTGGCCTGCAGTATAACTTTTTTTTATGCTAATAAATTTTGCATATGATAATATTTAATAATGATGGTGATTATTAATATACTTACATAAGAAATTAGAAATTAAAACATAAGAATGATATGTGAAATTGCCCTGTAATAAACGATCTAGTGTTCTCTAGCATGCTATACATGTACATAGGTACATGAAATGTCCTTTTTTACTCCAAATGATGTTTCGAAAAGATGAACTTCACTTTACCTCTTCGCTTCCAAGCTCTTACCTTACGTTATTGGGTTGTTACTTGAAGTCTATACAATGAATAGTTATGTATTGCGTATTCAGTTTTAATACAGACGTGAAAGTATTGCGTTTTAACTAGTAATTTACTAGTATATATAATGACAATTGGCTATTCATAGGACATCGTCGGGTATCGGTTTCTTCTCTGTCATTGCTATTTACTGAAGCTTCACAATTTTATTTATAACAGCTCTTATGTCATATGCTATTAACATATTTGCATATGTATACATATAAATTTGTACATATATATACATTCACTATGCAATTGTTTTAATTTTAGAAATCCCGTTGTACCATGCTCCGATATTCCTCAAGTGGATTTGACAAAATGGATTGATCAGAAACCGTTTAAACAAACAGAAGATGTTTTAAATGTAATTCCGCTCCATTATGGCAAATGAAGTGTTCAATGTGCCAAAACCAATTCTACCGAGCGTATTAAAAGTTTTAAATTATGATTATTCAAACCATTTTAGCATGTAATCAATGTTATGTACATATTAGCGAAATCATTTGTATACATTTTTATAGCTACAATTATTACTACAGAGAATTATTAATTTTTAATATAAAAAGTATTAAATATATGTATAAAAGTTAAAGTAAGTATAATTAAAGCAAATAAAATTTCTTATGCCTCGTACAAGATAATTTTAGGTGTTGGAAAGGCGAGAGTATGATTTATGTAGCAGACTTACCCTTTGTTTATGGGCGGTCGTATCACAAAAAATCCTTATTTGATCCTGGGAGTGACACTTCTTTTAAAGTCAATAAGTGTTCTCACCTGAGCTAAGTAAACTCTGAAGAAGTGACTCACTTGCTCAGCTACGTAAATATTTCCTCTGGGCAAATGGAGAATATCTATGGTGAATTGACTAATGATATCGAGTTGTGCTGCTCTTCGCCTGAGCTTTGCCGCTACTTAGACGAAACGCAACAAGTGGTTTATGATCGGGGAATAATACAAATTATCTTCTTTCAAGCGCATATTTAAAATGGAGAGTGCCTTGATATGCTGCGGTTAACTCTCTATCGTTAATAAAAGCATAGAAAGCGTAAGCTGTTAGAGTCAGTTGTGAAACCGAGACCATATAGTTCATTCAAATCCAGATGCTATCATCCAAAAAGTTTTCGAAAATTAATTTAAATAAAAAATTAAGCTAAATTATGTAGTTGCAGTCGCACTTCTGCAGGGAATGTCAACCCCGAGTGTACTTTTTGACGTGAAATAAAAGCTTCTCATAAAAAACCACCAGCTGTTCGGAGCCGGCTTGGTGTAAACTGTAGGTTCCTCCATTTATTGGAAAAACATCAAGACGCAGACCACAAATTGGAGTAGGAACTCGGCCGAAAAAAATTTTAATTACTTTTTGTTTTTTAAATTTTTCAAAAATTTTAGAAATTCGAAGAATTGACTTTGAGTCAAGAAAGGCTTTCAACATCGGACACAACATTATCACGAAAAGCACCGCTTTACTAACATGATTAACTTTACGGAACAACGTAACGGAACAACACATCAGCGAAAGGAAGCAGGAATACAGTAAACTAAGTTTCAATTTCAATTGCGGGTGCGAATTTCTGTACATCATTTCTTGTTTACTTTTTTCTAATTTTTCTTTACTCTAAAGTTTGAACCTCTCAAATCTCTAAGTTTATTTACTTTCAAATTAGAAAAAATAAATAAAGATTGAGGATACAAAAATAGGAAGTTTGTTGATAGTTGGTAGAATTGCTCAAAACACTACATATAATACATAAAATCTAAAAAGTCCTTATCAATCCGAAAGACGAAGGTCATAATAACGGTGTTGTTTACGTTTCTCACATATCACATTATTGAAAAAATAAATTCGCTCATTGGAGTGAATGTCTGGAACCACACGGGTTTAAAGAACAACCCGGCCTTCATCCCTCGGCAACGATATCAGCAGTCTCATCAGTCTCCTGCACCTGTGAGAGACCGCTGAAAGTGAAGAAGACGTGTCTCAGTCCATAGATGCAGAGTAGAGGTGTGCGTGAATGGATTTGAAAGCAATTATAAAAAAAAAAAATAAATAATTTCATCAACATCAAAGTCAGGTTGCAAAACTATAAAAACTAGAATACCTGGGATAATCACCATCAAATATTTTTTTTTTTTGTTCTTGGGGTTACAATTATATGTATTGCGAAAAGAATAAAAAATTATTTCTTATTTTATTATTAATTTTTAAATTTGTAAATTTTCTGTTTAAAACTATTGAATTACGTCATCAAAACCCATTCTATTGTAATATCATATTTTGTAAATTTATAACCCATTTTTTACTCACACTTTGTTTATGCTTTGCTTTGATATGCAAAACATTTAAAAGAGCTAAGTGTACTTGTTACAGTATCCCGTTACTTTGGTGTCTTTGCTGAAAATATGAGGGAAACAAGCTTATGCTTGAAGAGAACAAGTGCTGTTAAAAATAATTGTTGTCAGAAGAGGTTTTGATTATTGAAGCAAAAAGCACTGACCAATCAATTGAAGGCTCTAATGCAGAGGTAGGCGAAAAAGACAGCACTAACATTGCTCAAGCATTAGAGGAATCAAGCGATTATAAGGTACTGCAAATAGACGCCAGCGAAGATGAAGATGTCCCTCACAATTTTATTTCGCCGATTTCGTTCTGGTAATTTTGATGTTAAAGATGCTCAACGTTGTGGAAGCCTGATTGTCGTAAATGCTGATAAAATAATGGAAATTATACAGCCCTATCCTTGATGAAAATTCCCCTGGGGTGATTACTCACTGTTCCCTCTCCTCCTATTTTTTCTCTGTTCCCTTTCCTCATATTCTAAACAAACTTCGAAAATGGGGCGAAAGTCCCGCTGAAAAAAGTTCGAATCTCCAATGCAAAAAAATAGAATGGCTTGTGAGTTTTCATAAAAAATTTGTAAATATCTAATAAATATTACACAAATAGTCATATTAAGTTGTATTTTTTCCATGTGTTACTTTTTTTATTAAAGATAAATTCTCAAATAAGTTACAAAAATATACAGCTTTACAAAAAACAGTAAATAAATAACTGAATAAAATACAATAAAAATCAACTAAAACTACAAACATTAATTCATAAGTTTAAAAAATAACAATCTCAATTTAACTTCATTTGTTAACCAAAATAACTAGATAACTGATATACGCAAGGATTTAGTAATTAAAACGTTACACATTCAATAGAACGGATAAGCAAAATCAAAAACTGAAACATTAATTCAATAATGGCTCTCTTGCGTCAATCTTAAATATTAAATTCTGGTAGCATTTGCCTTTATAAGGCTAATTATTTCCCCTCCAATATTTTCTGTCGCTTCAGCATTGTCAAGAACATTCCCTGCCGAGCTACAGCGATAAATATATGACCTCCATTTTAAAAATAAATGAGCATCCTCAAATAATGAAGAATATTCCGAATTATCACTTTGTGATTGACATATGTAAGAAAGCCCTCCATTAATTATATATAAAGCCAATGTACATAAATCTTGAAGATTGGTGACTGGGATATTGTTAATTCTAAAAAAAATATTTATTAACTAGATAGGAGCTTCAACCAAAACATAATACTATACTTACTGTTTTTCAATAGTATAATACATAATGATTTTGATTATCAAAAGCATTTCAGAGAAAAAGGAAAACCAAAGGACATCTTCTGTATAATGGGAAGTCACATTTGATTTAACTTCCAACAAAATAAAGTACGCTTGTCGTCCAAAATCTGCAAAAAGAAAAAAATAAATAAATGTTTAATATATGTACATACATATATATTTTTTATCTGGTAAAAATATTGAAAATAAATATTATCAGTCACGTTCTGAATTTCACTTTGGTGTTCTCCATTCTACAAAATTTCAATTTCATTTTGCTTTTTGAGCAAGAAATTTCTAAGTTCCGAAACTGTTTCACAACATTTCGGGAGAAGATTTATCAGCAAACGCGCAAACGTTATCATTATTTATTTATGTTCAATTTTAAAATATTCTGAAGTTTGAGGTAAAAAGTCTATATCAGAAGTTTTTTTGAGAGTAGAATTACCAATGATGGCTAAATACGGAATAGATACGGAACTTACTCAAATTCTCTCAAATTGCAGCTGAGAGCGTTGGCCCATCTCACATTCTAATGTTGACGGCTAATGTCAGATCGGGTAACATTCATATATAAATAAAAAATCCACTGTGTTATTTTTAACAGAAACTTGGAATCAGGATGAAACATTAAATAAATTATTATATTGTCTGTTTTGATTGCCCAGGAGCTAAACATTGCACAAAAACCGTTTGGAATCACTTGAAAAAGGCTGAATACACAAAGAAGGTCGATGTATGGGAGATACATGAGTTAACGAGAAAAACCCTCTTAACCGAAATTATACATTGCGTATCGCTGTCGAATTTTTAGATAATCGACCGCTTTCTAAGCGGATGGTGACTGTTGATGAAAAGTGGATTACTTACAGCAACGTCAAACGGAAACGGTGGTGGTCGAAGGGCAGTGACCCGGTACAAACAGTATCCATGCCAGTATTGACGGCCAGGAAAGTTTTATTGTGTTTGGTGAGATTGGTAAGGAATTATGTGGATAAAATAGGACGGTTTGAGCAGAGAAACGCCCAGCTTTGGCCAACACGAGAGGAATTTTATTTCATCAGAACAACGTAAGACCACATAAAACTATAGAGACTTGTCAGAAGCTCCGGGAGCTTCCCAGGCAGAGTTTCATAACACCCTTTCAAACAGATATTATTTTAATTCCGATAAATAAGCAATTCTGTGTTGGTTTCTATAACACCTCTGAATGTGTTTCTTTGCTCGATTTCCATTCTGTTGCCTTTTTTGTAATGGCTAAACCGTTCTGTGTATTTGGGGTGTAGTCGAACTTTTGGGTATGCAGTTACAGTCGCTGGGCTATACTCAATTCCTACTTTTGCGTCCTCGTCGCGCACACTGGACACATGAGCAACCCTTCTGCAAGATACGGATGAGAACCACCGATCTCCACCGGTTTTTCCTTTTTTTAATAGGGCGATTGCTATTCGAACTTCTTCTTTTTAGTCGACCGATGAAACACCTGCCATCGCCATATCCTGGTACTGCACTTTTGTTGCCATTCAATAGGCTGGAGTGGTTTCGCCATACATTCAGTATACTCCGGCCATTAGTGACTAGATAACCTCTCTGTGTCCTACATGAGTCTATTCCTTTCCAACACCTTTTGTAAGTCGCAGTATCTTACTATTTTTTCAAATCATAATAAAAACTTTTTCTCATCTCTTCTAGCTGGTGAAGTTGTTCCTCCATAAATTCAGTTTACTTTGGTCATCAAACATAGAAGAAATGAAAGATGTTTCAGAAAAAACAGGCTTCAACTTAAGAGCCGTAATTAATATAATCGACCGCATTAGCAGAGGGGTTAAGTCATGGTCTGACACGTTCACACTTTGTTGTGGCTTTCTGCATTTTTATCGAATTTACACAAAAAATGTATTGAGAGGATTATTATTGTTTTATTGATCTATCTACTTATTTGAATATGTGAGTCACTTCTTTCCTGGGGAGACTTTCACGAGTTGAGCCTTAGTTCAGATCCCAGAGAGGAGAATAGTCTTCCTGCTAATCTAAGCAAAAAGCCACCTACCAAAGTAATTCGGAACATAAATAACATTTTTCCTAATAGATCAGTCCTCGATCCACGTGAACCTTTCAAGGAACTGCAGAAACAAACTGACAAATTTTCCATCTGCCAACAATAATTAGTGTGCATCAGCGTCTGTTTGTGACCAGAACATAGTTTTTTTCTTCGAAGTACAGCAGAGGTCCATCGAACACACAGCCAATAAGTTTTAGCTGTGCATTAGGCCGAAAGGCATGACAAGGTGATTTTGCAACGTGACAACACCCGCACCTACGTCGCTATTACGGTCAAAATCTACCTGGAAATTTAAAATGGGAGTTCTTATCGCACCCGCCGTATTTTCCGCGTTTTTCTTTATTCATCATTTTTAGAGATGGTATTCGAAAATAACCACAAAGAATAAGTTTTACTCCTACAGATTTACTTTTTTAAAAAAATTTTGAAGTTGCATCTGTAATTATACAAACAGAAGTGGAATTTAAAATTCATTAAAAATAAACAGAAAGAGAATAACCTCCTGTCTGCTTTCCGATGTCAAAATCCCATTTCGTTCAAACGTAAACTACTTTTGTACGATTACAAATACGTTCACGGATTCTATAATTCGACCCCCGATTTTACGCTAGCTGAAACGCATCTAACAAACAAGTACAACTTTCACAGAGTTGGCTGTGACTGGAGTGCCCACATTGTTAAGCCAGAAGGACGACTATTGCATGTAACCAAATAATCTTCAATTTATTTCTCCTTGGCAACTTACGTATGGGCCAACAGATCCGAATATCCAACAATATATCTTATTGATTAGTATATAGATTATAGTTATAAAACACATTGTAGCATATCCATCGTCTTTAGGGGCGTTTGACTGGTTGCGGAGACCAAGGTTTTAGGCAAAGGTTCTACCTCGTTTTTTTGTGTTTCATTGAAATATCTTTGTTGATTGCGCGTATATTTAGATCTTTATGGATGTTTTCATTGCGCATATGTCATGGTGCGCCCGTTATTGTTCTTGACGTTCGCGATTGAAGTCTTTGTAATATATCTACATAGATTCCTCCTGCAAGCTGTACTTCGATGGATTCCAGACATCCATATCGGGTTTATAGTGCCGTTATAACGAAGAACTTTGTGTTCAAGGCCAAATCCACAATTCTTGCTTAAACTGGGACATTTAAGCCTTGCTGCCTTGCTTGTGTCGTCTCGAATATAACCAAGTCTATCCAAGTGAACGGCAAGATATGTGACCTTAAGAATAGGGCACGATTTGGGCCTTATTGTAAAAGTTTTGTTTGCACTTATTTGCTTTTATTTCGTTAGTAAGTAACAAACCTCATTTATTGTTGAGTTTGTTTTAACTCGTGCGCGGTTGTTTGATTTTATATTTTAACTAGCAGACCCCGTCACACGATGTTGTCTCTTTCTGCATATGGTAGAACTTTTATTCTGGATGAGTTCCAAAACGTCAAAATACTTTGTAATGATGCCGTTTCGCAACCGCATCATTACAATGCAACCCTGTATTATATAAATTTACAAAGCAACAACAATTTGAAAACTCTGCCATTTCGGAACGATTGTGATATTGCAAAGGATGACAAAACCCCCTTATCAAGCATCATATTCTTCTTCTCTTTATTGGCGTTGGTACCGCTTACGTGATTATAGCTGAATTGATTAAAGCGCGTCATTCATCATTTATGCGCTGTATGGCGCCTGTTGTAAATACCAATTGAGGCCAAGTCACTCTTCACCTGATCCTTCCAACAGAGTGGAGGTCTTCCTCTTCTTTCGATTCCACCGGCGGGTAATGCATCGAATACTTTCAAAGCTGGAGTGCTTTCATTCAATCAAACGACATGACCTAGCCAGCGTAGCCGCTGTCTCTTCATTCGCGGAACTGTGTCAATATAATCATATAGCTCGTACAGCTCATCGTTCCATCGTCTGCGGTATGCGCCGTTGCTGATGCGCAAAGGTCCATAAATCACTCGAAAAATTTTCCCTCGTAGACTCCCAAAGCCGTTTCATCAGCTTTTGACATCGTCCACGTATCTTCGCCATATAATAGGACGGGTATGGTGACCCGCTTGTAGAGCTTGGTTTTCGTTCGCCGAGAGAGGACTTTACTTTTCAATTGCCTACTCTGTCGCATTATATAATACTAAATAATAAGTTTTATTTTATAATATTCCTCGCTTGAAGGTATGAGAATAGCTTGTAACCCGTAGCCGCAGAAGAATAATATTGCGCAGCGAACATACTTACACACGATCAATGCTTGGCATAAAACAAATTTTACCAAAAACTGGGGAACAAATTTTTTGGTCCGAAAAAATACTCGTTTGTGCTAGAAAGGTGAAAATTTAGGATTATATGTATGTATTTTGTAATGTCACATCATAAAAAAAATAATAAAAACATTTTGTCCAACTAAACTTAGGATGTGAAAAATATGAAAATTTCATCAAAATCGAATAAACCGTTTCGGAGGAGTATCATCTCTAAAACTGTGACACGCGAATTAATACGTCCCGTTCTGAAAAGCTGTATTCACTTGAAAGTTTTGGCCAATCTTGGAAGCAAAGGTATCTGGTATTTCATTGAAAAGATTTTAAATGCATCTGTTAACAATAATTAGTCTACATCACCGTCTGACAAAAACATTATTTTTACCTTTGAAAATGTCCGCTTTTTTGGTAAGTAAAAATTTTGTTCCTGCAGGAAGTTTTGATTCAAGTAGTGGTTTCGATCGACGCTTCAAAAGTGGTGATTTGAGTTTAGTTTCGAATGGAGCCTTCTGGCCAACACAAAAAATTTAAAGAGGAATTGGAGGCTTTTAGAAATGATGCGACTTCGTTTCGATAAGAAAAATTAACTCAACGACGAAACCGCACAAAACTCATCGTAATCGAAAATTATCAGAGACATTAAACAAAATGAAGTTAAATGTTCTTCATTACGGTCTACACTCGGCAGGGAATGGGGGTGGACATTTCCCACAAATGGAGAGACCTACATACAGTTTATATAATACTAAGCCGTCTCGAAACGGCTAAAGGTTTTTTGCGAGGAGCCTCTATTCCATGTCAGAGGGGTTGAAATTCCCTACCGAGGGTCGACCGTAATTAGAAAACTTAGCTTAATTTTTCATTTAAATTAATTTTCTATAACTCTTAAGATGTTAGTACCGCACGAGGACTTGAACCACTCGGCTCCCGCAGCCGTCATATACATATATATGTGTAATATTGTTGTATTATATACATAATACAATGGGTTTAAGCATTGGCGGTTTAAAATTCAATAAGTGCGCACAGGATCTGTAAATTTAGGATTGGATTTTCGCTACCTCGAGTGGCCATCGCTAAGTGAACGTTGGGCTAACGAACTAATTTTCACTTAATGATACATTTCATACACAATTACTCTTAATGATAGTATACATACTTTTTAATGCCAGATATTTCGCATGCCCTAATTCCACTTTAATTCGATACTCATTGGAAGGAACGTAGCTAGCCCTTGCACGTAAGTAAAGTGCTTCGTATAACAAGCACAGGGTCCTTTCATTAGCTGAAATAATAAAAATATAAAAATTAAATAACTCTTAATTATCAGTAGCAAAATTATCTAAACAACACAGTTTTGTAATTTCTATTCAATTCTTAAAAAAGAAATTGTAAAATATTAAATAATAAAATATTTTAATTCTAATGGCGCTCAAGTTGAAACCACGCATGCCAATTAATTTTAGTTGTTATATATTATATTATGTCATAAGTAAAGAATAAAAAGTTTACAAAAGAAAAATAAATCGATTTCAAGTGCTTGTTGAGTTATAGGGTTGTACGCAGTTGTATGCAATGGGCAGATTAGTAGTGAAATTTTGCTAAACAGCATGTTCTCTGGGGATAATGGCATTTTCTCCAGGATAGACTTAACGACTCTTGCACTGAGCGGATCAGTAGAAATCTATGTAGACTTACGGCAGCACAACATAAGCCGCAGGAGCTAGTGGCAGCGCAATTACGTTTCCCCAAAATAACCTGTTTAGCTGGATGACGTCAGAAATATTTTATCACAGATTCATCTATAGATGAATTTTCAAAGACACCCCGTTGATATGAATTATTTTAAATCCTGTTCTGTTACACAGCGTTTCCTTTTTATGTCTAAAAACCTATTACGTGTCATACAATTTACCACTAGAGTAATGGCAGGATCTCCATCTAAACTCCAATAAGTTCGCTCGTTAGGTAATTCATGATAACCAGTCAATATAAGCATACCTAAAAACTGTTCCAAACTTGCACTGTCAAATTGTAAATTGTGTTGTTTTTGTTATCAAGTCCATCACATCATCATTAAAACACTTTTCAAACCATATAACAGGTCTCTTTGGTCTTTTAGTGATTCGACAATACCATTTCGTCTTATTTGATAAATTTTGCCACCTTTATTGGTTGTACTATATAAAAGCTACATTTCCTCCAGACAGACTCTTCAGCATCTCTTTTTACTTGTTTGATTCGTATTTGGTAACTGCAGAGCCTCATCGTCTCTTATCATCCCAGTCTGATATGTCTGAGTGACGAGAAACTACCTCAAGAGTGCCAGGTATATCACTCGGAAAATTGGAAGAAACTAAATCATCTTCATTTCCTTCAATTTCTTCACCAATTATAAATTCAACGGCTTCCTCAAGTCCTATATAGTTTTGTTTGATCGTAAATTTTCTTTTGGTTGATATTATTGCTTTGTAAACACCTGTAAATAAGGGTTAGTTTTTATACAAATATTAAACCCCCCCCCCCCCCCCCCCCATTGTACACCCTTATGTACATAGCAATAAAAACAAGCATCCTTCGATATTGTTGTATGAAATTGTCACACTAACGATAGTCAAATAATATATCCTAAAAACCTGGAATGATTGTTTTTATAAAAGAAAAAAATATGAAAGTAACAAACCGGTAAAAAAAACGCACACAAGCCACATTTCAAACTAAAGAATTTTTTTTCAAAAAATACCCAAAATTTGATATATCCGTAATCACATGGTCTACTTTAATAATTATTTTACTTGACTTTAGGAAATCACGCCAACAAAGCTATACGAGGTGTGTTCAAAAAGTATTGCGAATTTTGATTTTTCGTGTGTTACGTATAATTGAATTTCGATTTTTTTTGTGGCGTCATGTTGGTACTCATGTTTGTCACTTATGCCGACAAGCTCGGCCATTTCGAATGTTTACTTAATTGTTGACAGCTGCTTTGCTTGCACGTGTTTTGGATGGTCTTCGATTTTTACCTATTCAAAAAAATGGATCAAAGAACCTGTATCAAATTTTGTGTGAAAAACGAAATTAAGTGCGCGGATGCATTCCGAATGTTGATTGTGGCATACGGAGAAGCTACCTTGGACCGAAGCAACGTTTATCGGTGGTACAAAATGCTCTCAGAAGGCTGAGAAGATGTGAACGTCGAACAGCGTGCCGGACGCCCGAGCACTTCAACAACAGACGAAAAAATTAATTGCGGGGTGTGGTGCATCATGGGTTCTTGCCACAGGGTAGAACGGTCAATAAGGAATATTACCTGCAAGTTATGCGCAATTTGCACTAAGCAATACGCCAGAAACGTCCGGATTTGTGGAAGAATAAAAATTGGCTTTTGCACCACGATAACACCGCTGCTCAAACATCGTTGCTTGTGCGCGACTTTTTGGCCAAAAACAACACACTAATGATACCGCAGCCACCGTATTCTCCAGATCTGGCCCCCTGTGACTTTTTCTGGTTCCCTAAACTGAAGAGGCTCATGAAAGGACGACGTTACGCTACGATTGACGAGATAAAACGGCATCGAAGGAAGAGCTGAATAAGATAAAAAAAATGATTTTTTGAAGTGCTTCGAAGTTTTAAAAAACCGTTGGCACAAGTGAATAACATGTCATGGGGATTACTTTGAAGGGGACACAATAGATATTCATGAACAAATACATAATTTTGAAAAAAAAAACACAAAATTCGCGATATTTTTTGAGCACACCTCGTGCACAAACAAGTACAGCGAGCGGTAATGGATGAAAACGGACTGCTAACCCCCCTTAAGAGTGAGAAAAATGGGATAATGGGGAAATTGAAATGCAGCGTCCAATTGCACATGAGTGCAGCAAACCTGTTAATTGAAGTATATTATTAGGACCTGTATCTTAGCTATAAAAATCCAGTGTACGAGGTGTGACAATTAAGTAATAAGACTGACTCCATAAAAACCGCATATTTCAATATAATTCAACAATTCTGTCATCCCCTTCAACACTCCGACTGGGATGTCCGCGAGTACCCTAGTCACGGCCGCTTGGATGTCCCCAATCGACTCAAAAACGGGTCCTTTGACCACCGATTTTGTTTTAGAGTTACAGGGTGACATATCAGGCGAATAAGGGGGTTTTCTCCTAATTCGATTAATTGAACGCAAACTATATCTCTCAGTTTTGGAGATGTGTATTAGAAAGGACCTTCATACTGTATAAATCATTTATCACAACCGGTTAGAAGGGACCCATTATGTTATATACATCTGAATTGATATATGTAAATATTGACACTGACACTGGGATAGGAAAGCTATATCCTATAACCTTAATTTAAAAAGAGCAACCAATACAAAAAGTTGGAAGGTCGAAAAGAAAGAATCTAAAGTAAAATGTCTTTATGGCCTAAACTTCCGCGTTAACTATGTATGTATTAATGATTCCAAGAGGGTTAATTCTAATTTTTGCTCGCTAATGGGATGCATTCCCTTTTTCAATCATTTCTTCTAATTGACAAAAAAAATTTTAGGTTTTAGTTTGAATACCAAGATTTTGTAGTCGTTATTAACTCCGCACAAAAAAAGTACTACCCTTCACTACTGTGCATAGGTAGTGTTTTGCTAAGATTTTCTTTCAGGAAGTTCAGTGACTGAGCTATTCAAAAAAATTTGTATCTTAAGTTCGAATTCCATGAAATTCGGTCGCCTTGCTAGCCTTAGATTATATAAACATTACTTTTTCTACCATGAAGTGGACCCACCCAGGACTGGCCTATTCGAAAATATTCTTTTTACTTGAAATTTTTTTTTTAGAAAGTGAAACAAAATGTATATATACATATATGTATATTTATTATTCGATTTGATAAAACGTTATACTTTTGTTACCCGAGACAAGACAATGACTAGAAACTAAATTCGTAACATTGAAGATCAAACGTCTAGTTCGTCACATGCCGACATTTTCGTGGTGTATTTTTAAAAATTTAAGTTCTTTGTGATTATTCTCTGCCTTTTTGCTACTTATTTAAGCTTTTTAGCTTATAATTAATTTTATGCAGTTCAAAGATTGAAGTACCAAACAAAAACTGTTGGAACGACTGATTTGTGTTATGGAGTAAAAGCCTCCGTTAACGAAACGAATGCGCAAAAAATTCAGGCTGTGTAAAAATGGTAAGAAACTACGCTGGAACAGAATTGTCTAAGGTCTCAGTGGTTTAAAAACAACTATATCATATATGTAATGACTGTTGTATAAATTTTTATCAGCTTGATTTATAAATACTGGGATTCATTATTCTATTTTTACGACATTCGGATATTTAAAATAATTTAGGAACAGTTTTAACGATTTCATTATTCGCAATATATATTTTAATATTCGCTGTAATTATTTTAACGATATTCGCTATCGCTTGGTTAGGTGTTGAGGCTACCTTTTTGTTGACTACACGAATACCTTCAAGTTCTTAACGCCATCGCAAGACTTTTGTTTAAGCGAGCTGCACGCTATTAGAAATATCCTTCGCATACCTTTGGGCATAAGATATCCCATCGATCCGGTATAAAGACCCGACTGTCACAGGAACTATTGGATTTCAGTCGCCACTTACGACAAGCATAGCATGCCTTACCGCGGGTAAATTCTTGAGCCCCTAACGAGTGTATGCATACGCATGCGTTTTTATGTGCATGATGCATAGATGTTAAAGTCTGGGTGCTTGGTAAGACGCTCAAAAACTTGCATGCTTGCTTGTTTAGAATGTTACCAGCACCAGAAACAGCTGAATCACGTCAGTTCCTAAGTTATGAAAGCTTGCTTTACAAAAAGTCTTCCTCTCCACCATTCCCAATGCAACAGTGCAATGGGCATAACGCCCCATCACCAACACAGGATAAAAGGTCATTCGCAATTTTTCAACCGGAGCTCACCCCGAGCTCCACTTAATATATTCACATAAATATGTGATCCTTAAATATCTACGATTCCGGGTGATATATTTATTTGGATCTCCTCCACAGTGCGAAGAGTCAAGCAGCGTGGTTCGGAAGGTGAAAACCATAACGTGTTTTTGATTAATAAACTTACAGGTCACGCAGCATAGTGTTAAAAGTGGAAACCATTTGATTGGATCGTTTAATCAGCACTTTCAACTACAGTCGCAGATCGATAGCAACTCATGATAGCGGTATTGATATTATTATTAGATGATGGTTAATTAAATCACAAGCCACTACAACATATGACCGGGTCTGTTAATTGTTCATAAAGTTAAATATTAACTTTTGAAAATTGCTTGTTTGCCATAGTTACCAAATTCCCAAGCGGGCAGAAACCTTTAGTTAGTTAGTTTCTGGGTATGCTGTTACCGTTGCGATGCTATACTAAATTCCTACTCTCTCGTCCACGTAGCGCACCCTGGAAACGTGAGCAACCCTTGTGCAAGATGCCGTAACCAACCCGTGTGGAGCCTTGGGTCACGCCTTATGAGAGAGGATGCTTCAGTGAAGCCATTATGACTTATTCGGTTTAAAGGTCTGCTGAAGTCTAATTGCAGTGTCTGTTCACCAGAGGTGAGGCTGCGAGCGGACATCGATCTTGAAGGAAGCGGCTCGCTATATAAATGTATAAAAAAAATGTTTAAACTTACTCGCCTCGCGAGGTTGTCCGTTGGGTTTCCAATTAAAAACTTTACAACGCCACGGATGATGACCCCGCAAACGAATTATGGATCACGATTTGAGGGCATTCAACTGGAATGTTCGGTCTCTTAATTGGGAAGGTGCCGCTGCCCAGCTGGTTGATGTCCTCGTAAGAATAAAGGTTGACATCACAGCCATCAAAGTAGTGCGATGGACGGGACAAGGACGAAAACGAAAAAGCAAAGCAGATTCCTGTATGACACAAAGAGGTGATCTAGCAACCGATGCCCAGAGGATTTTGAGTTTATGGAGTGAATACTTCTCCAGCCAGCTGAATAGCTGTGAAAATAGAGTATCCGGAGATGGTGAACCCGACAGAATATGTTCTGCACAAGCTGTAAAATGCGGACTCGCGGGGAGAAGCCTTCTTAATACCGCATATTAGGTTCTATCGATCGTTGTGTATAAAAGACTAAAGCGTATCACAAACAAACTGATTGGACCTTATTAGTGTGGCTTTAGACCTGGTAATCAACCTTTGACCAGATATTGGAAGATATTGGAAAATACCAGTGAAAAGAGGAGCGACATCCACCACCTCTCCGTCGATTCCGCCTTCAACAGCACGAATAGGAGCTGCCTTTACGCCGCTATTAACTGACGTTAAGCAACACTAAAAAGCTCCGTCAGTATCGGGAGCCGTTCGATACCGAAGAAGTTTCCTTATCGTGTAACTTTTTTAATTTATTTTTTTATTTATTGGAGAAAATAATACGAGCTGCAGAGCTCAATAGAGAGTGCAACAAACGCGCCGTGAGTTCAGTTTTCTCCGACTTGAAAAAGAAGCTAAGGATATGAGTCTGGTAGGGAAGAAGGAGCTCCTGTCAACACACAAACAGTCATCGCATTCGCGACTCGGCTCCCACCAACAGATGCTACTTAGGACTGAGTAGGAAATTTAAAGGTAAAGTCTCGACGAACGAAAACCAAAATCTGTATGGTGCGGAAGTATGGACGACAACAACATTTGATGAATCGCCGTTAGGAGTTTCCGAGAAAAAAGTTTTGCGAAAGATTTATGGTATTCTACGAGTTGGTAACGGCGAATTCCGCAGCCAATGGATTGATGAGCTGTATGAGATATACGGCGACATTGACATAGTTCAACGAATCAAGAAGCAGCGGTTACGAATACTTGAGCTCTGAAAGTTTTTGATGAGCTACCCGACGGTGGAAGCAAAGAAGAAAAACCTTCACTCCGTTGGAAATGCCAGTGGAGATGGGCCTGACCCTACTTGATACTCTAATTGGCGCCAAGCAGCGAGAAAAAGAAATGAATGGAGCGATGATATAAATTCGGCTAAAATCACGTAAGCGGTGTCTACGCCAGTACGTAAGTAAGTATGGAAGTAGTTAGTTAGCTAGTTATTTTATTACATAATAGCGGCGGAAGACAGGCATTAATGCTGTATGCTGTATTATTTCTTCTAGGAAAGCAACAAATTTACAAGGTTTAAAAATCCGTGGGAAGAAGTAAATAAAGCATGCACATTTTCACAAATCATATAATTATAACAAACAAAGCTTACCATTAGGATGCATATTATTTCTGATTGATTTTTCGAGTAGAGCTATTTCTGTATTGTATTTCAATAACAAACTGTTGAAATTGGTTTCACAGAGCGAACATTTTATTTGACTTGGCGTTATTATTTGTCCTTTACATTTTGCACAATATATTCCTTGACGTAGATCCTAAGAATTAAGAAGAAAAATAGATTTATAATTATATTTAGTATTTAAACAAATTTTATTGTAATACAAATTGCGTATGTCTATATAGGAATGCATTTCGCTTCAGTGAAGGTCTTTTACGAGTAATATTTTACTCCAATATTATAAAAAAGGAAGTTAAATTTGATTGACAATTATGGACTTCAAACCTATTGCAAACATTTTTCCTAATTTTTTCGGCATTCTTAATACTTCTATAACCTGGTGTCATACTAGCATCCAAAAACTTAATAAAAATTTATTTAAAATAAAAAATTAAGTTAAATTTTCTAATTGCGGTCACGGAATGTCAACCCCTCCGAGTGTATTTCTGACATGAATTAAAGCTCCTCATAAGTAAACCATTAGCCGTTCGAGGGGTGGCTTAGTATAAATAAGATGCAAAACCACAATTCGGAGGAGGAGCTCTATCAAAAACAAAGCGCCAATTATATATATAGACCATAGCATATGATGCTGATTATTATAAACTTAAGATAGGAGCCTAAATTATCTATTTAGGCAAGAGCATACTGCAAAAAGGTCAAATGCGAATGACAGATGAAAAAGATGCTGATAACTTGCTTTAGAGGCAATACAAAAGTGGTGTGTAAAACGCAATTATAGACAATTCCATTGCTTTTTTGTTTCCTTTCTTTAATCCAATTGAAATAAAATGTGCTTATTGCATAAAATAAACATATTAAATATTTTGAAAGTGATTGAATATTTGAATCAAAGTTAGAATAAACTTTTATAGATATAAAATCAAGAATGTGAGTTTCTATACATACAGACCGGTTCACTTGATTAGCAGCATTATTTTTATCAAATCATTTCTGATTAAAACTGCTGTAAATGTAAAAACATTGTAATATAAATGCAGTTTTCGGTATTTTATAGTATTTATAAGGTAGTGGCTTAGTTAAATGCGATAGTTTAAATTAGAATTTCTTTTCATAACAATACTGACGAATACTAATCAAGTGAGCCGGAGGCAAAAAACTTACAGTAGGCTCGTTTTCCGCAGCGTCTTGGCATATTTCACAATGACATTCAATATTTAATTGCTTCAATAAAGTCTGTCTTTCCACTCGTGTATGATGCATGTAATTTGCTTTGTAAGAAACAAGTAGCTCATCGCCCCTTTTTACGTCACGTAATGTTTTTCCCATTACCAAGCCGTTATCAAGTTTCCTATAAATTAAAATAATTGTTTGTATATCATTCTACTACAAGAAAGTTTAAAACAGAAATAACAGCTACATAAATGTCCCTTTGTTTTGGATGAATTTTTGTTGCTTATAGAAAGGAATTATTCAAAATGATTTCAAATTTTAAATATTTCAATTTATTTTTTTAAAGCGACATGTAGAAAGTAAAAAAAACATACTTTTTGCAGCAAATGGTACTATCTGTCTATCACAATTTTTCTAAAAGTGATCTGAAATTTTGTTAACTTAATCTTTTACGTTGTGTTTTTTAAGATGAAAATTTTAAAACATGAAGAACTTTTTACAATATTAAAAGAAGCTGATAAATTAAATTCAAAAGGGGAAAGCGTGAATCGGAATATTATTGTAGAAAATAGTATTGTAAATGTCTCAACTTGAACAGGTCTAATTTCATCATGCTCATTACCCCAACAAATACAATATATTATTAAAAAGAACAAGCAACTTAAAATAAATAAACAAAAAATTATGTGCCAATATTGCTTAAACTTACACAATATCCACATTAGGAATGCATGAATGATTGAACTTTTTAAGTGTGGGGCACTGTAATGACAGTACCTGATGAACCTGATTGTAACGTGTACTCATTCGTAAAAAGTAGCCAAAAAAGTGTTTGTGAAAATTACTTGCGAAAGTTTGCACAAATCTGTAGCGTTCCAAACGTGACATTTTAGCTATAGATAAACTAATGGAACGGCTGGAAATTGGAATTGAAGCTAAATCGCTGTAAATTAACAACTGTACATCATCTGGACAAAAGTATAATTCGGCTAGTTTATCTTTAAAGACAGAGATAGGTCGTACAATTGAATTACACAACTTTGAGTGTTCAAGCGCTGGTGCAGCGAGAGGTTCAAAAACATGTTTTTGTTCCAAGTACCGTGTTCGCAGCTCATTTAGTTCGGCATTGGTAATATTATAATGTTCATTAATAAATTCAGTATATGTTTCTCGAATTGGTTTCACCAGATTTATCCAACTTGAGACTTGATCATGAACTGTTTTACACTTTGGTCTAACTTTCGTTAGCGGAACAACATATTCAAAATCAAAACTGTTTAAAAGTAAGCTGCAATGAAGACGCATCAATATGACACCTATTAATACAGTTTTTTCTGCTTTAGGAATTTGAAGTTTTGAAAAAAAAATGTCGGCTATATTTGTTTTGCTTTCGATAAATAATGAAAGGCGAAATGCCGTTGCTACTAAAGTGGAGTATTGCATTCTATGTAATTTACTGTAGTTAGGTCGGTCTCGCAATATACCCATAAATGAATTCATTTGATAATCCTCCTCTGTCTCTGAATTTCTTTCTATGATGTCCAAAACTTCTGCAGCCGATGTTACATTCCTGTAAAAATTATATAGAAAGATTTATACAGATTTCAAATAATAATTTTAATTGTAATGCATTATTAATTGGTGTTTTCCGGATGATCGATTTGAAGCAAAAAAAAATGATCTTTGGTGAAATGCGTGTGTATATGTAATTTTCTCGAAACATGCAAAATGACTCTACTCTTTAAACTTCCTTAAAGTAAATTACCTTGCAGTAGCTAAAATCTAAAATTTAAAAATGAGTTCACTAAATTTAATTCACCTTCCACATACTTAATTATTTTACTGGCATAGCCGAGTTAACAATATTGCGCTATTCCTTTGTTCTTTTTGCTGTTGTTTTGCCGGTTCGCTAATCCCGCTTAGGTACAAGTTTGATCAATCCAAGTCGCCGAGTCATCTAGTGGAAGGTCCAGGGGTTGGACCAAAGGGAGAGGGGGGTTAAATGAGTTGGCTTAAGGGGGCATGTGAAGAGATGATTAGTGTCGTGCTGAGACTCTACACATGCAGGGCATACTTTGGATATGCTGGGATCGAGTCTGGATAAGTAGGAGTTCAACCTGCTACAATATCCAGACTTATGTTGTGCCAAGATCACGCGGGTCTCTCGAGGCTGCACGAGCGCATTGTCTGCAATGGATGGTGGTTTTACTCCGAGCACGCCATTCACTGGAAGGGAGTCTTTGAAGGTGTTGACTGAATCCTGGTGAATGGCGTTCAGTGTTTGTCTGTACGCCGTCCTGCCCAGCGGTTGTTGCACATGCTGCTGGATTGTGTCCTTTAAATCTAGTACTCCCTTTCTGATGTGCCCTTCGGTAGCATCCTAATAGGAACTGCTTGCACAGCAAAGCATTATGCTCCTTAACTCGTAGCATAGATGCTTCGATGTGCAAGTGATGCTCCGGCGACATCAGGAGGTTTCCTGTCGCAGTCCTGAGGGTGGTGTCCTGGCAAGACTGTAACTTCTTCATCTGCGTCTCGTTCGTCCCCGGCGCCCAGATCGGTGCAGCATAGTTTACGACCGGCCGGCGAATCGCTTTATAAGTTGCCAGTAAAGTTTCTTTGTCTTTACCCTAGGAAATGGAACAGTAGCGGGAGAGGGCACCACCCTGCGGAGCCCCCTGTTTAATATTTCTGGGTTTCGATGTTTCACCTCGGAATATTACCGATGATTGCCTACCACTAATGTAGCCCATGACCCACCTCTGCAACCTCGGCGGTAATGAGGATACCTCAATGTCCGTTAGTAGTACTGAATGATTGACTGTGTCAAAAGCTCCAAATCCACTGCTACCAGGACAGTTCGTGCGAAGGGTCGGTTTTGGTTAAGGCCATTAACTATCTGGGTGTATATGGCGTTTAGTGCTATGCACTTTTCGAAAGCCATACTAATGTGCTGCTGGACGCAGATTGTGAGCAAAAGAGAGTTATCGGCTCCTTTGTTGGCTGGTTTCCCCGGACTGAGAAGCGGGACCCCCCTGCCGTGTTCCACACCTCAGGTATCATTAGGGTGGTCAAAGAGAAGTTCAGGACTTCCGTGAGAAATTTTGCTACCGTTGGTCCAAGATGTGTCAGCATACTTACACCGTCGGGGCCGATGGATGGATGTGGTGGCTTTCACCTTCCCTATGACCCCCTGAAATCCACCACCGCGCTGGTGTTTTGCAGTTTGCGCATACGGAGGGTTACATGTTGCTTCGTTTTGTCTACCGAAAGATGCAGTGTAAAAAGTCGGCTAAAATAAAGTAAAGGTGATGAAGGCACTGCCCTGGAGCGTTGGCAGCATGGGACCACATAACTCCATATAGATCTTAAGGCTTGAGCAGGTCTTAAAATGACTCCAAACATTACACTGGTTGCACCTAAATGAGGTGGAGGAGCTGTGGAGTGTATAGCTACAGCAGACAACGAGCCAAATCGTCCTTCTCTTCCGTAGGGGCGTGGGCGCAAAATTTCACTTTGATGCGAATTGTGGTGAGACGTTTATCCACCGGGGGGAATGCCAGTACTCGACGACGCATCTTTCACAAGGGTTGCTCACGTTTCCAGGGTGCGTGACGAGGACGCAAGAGTAGAAATTGAGCATAGCCTCGCAACTGTAACATCATACCCCGAAGCCTATACCCAAAATAACAGTTTTTATTTTAGACTGATTTTCGACCGAGCTCCTCAATATTGTGGTGCGTGCCTTTATTGTTTTTTCAACAAATTGAGTGACCATAGTTTTTTCTAACTTAGAAATTCTGTACCGCCTCCTTTTTATGAATTTTAATTTTATGTAAGAAATGTATTTGGGGGGTCGACAGTCACTATAATATCAAAATCTTGAGTTTATATGGTCTTGCCTGCTTGCGCCTTGGATGTTCCAAACGAAATCTACTAGTTTGCAGTTTAGCAAAACCAGGCTACTGCCTTAATACAAATATTTTACCGTTCTTACGTGCAAAGGTATATCTATTCTTAAGTATTATAATTATTTTTGCTCCATAACTGTTTAGTGAATAAGCTAAATCTTACCTACGGGTGTAATATTTTTGGCTTATTTTCTGCGCGATAGTCTTCGATTCGGCTGAACTTCAGGAATAACAATTAAGCACGTTATAAAAACTACGAAAACCATGATGTTAGCCCAAAAAGTATGTTCTAATAGTCAACCACCTCAATAAAATTTGGTATCACTGCATACATACCTACATACTTATAGCATCAGATTTATTTATTTGTCTTCAATACTGTTTTGTCAACAACAATTTGGGAATACACAGGGTATATTTAGTAAAAAAAAAATAATAAAATCTTTTAAAAATTATTTTGCTCGTAAATTTTTAAATCTGATAAAAGTATGTCGCTTAATGCATTGATACCAAATTTTGGAAGTCAGATTGATATTAGTCAACTTATGGTATACATGACTTCTAAGAAACAAATTTTTAATATTTCGGGTTATTATGCTCAATTTTAGTCAAATCGAAGATCTTTCCACACAAGCCTGTCATGATTGTCTTAATAAACTGAGTTATATATACAATTGAATTATTAAAAATATACTGTATGTATGAACTTACCGAAATACTTTGCTAGCGAATGTACTGTTATTAAGATGAATTGACAGTTTTACAAATAGACGATAGAGATCTCGTGCATCTAATATATGCAATAAAAGGTTTTTATAAGCAGGGCATTCATATTGATGCATATCCTTGTCATTTTCTATGCATTTAAGCGAACAATAGGTTTTATAACGACATTCCAAACAAGTATATATATTATTACTATGATACAAACAAAACTCGCACTGAACTAATGACACATTCATATTTATAGATAGCGGCTTTTCTAGTAAAACAATGCTGGCCTTGGGTAAATCGACGTTTGAAACAACCCGGGAAACTAAATTATTTTTGTGCAAGTATTCACTGAAATGGAAAATATTTTAAAATACATTATTCCACATAGGATTAATTATACTTGCACATAACAACACGCGGAAGACATTTGTTCAATGTTTTTATTGATATTGAATCCTTGATATGGCAAATCCTGCCATGATATATCACATTTAGGAATCACGTGGTCGAAGTTATCGAATTCATGTTCAAAACTCCTTATATTGAGATCAATAATTTCTATAATAAAACGAAATAAGAACATTACGAGTATGTATTGAATATGGAATTTTATTATTGATAAATTATCGAATTAAACATTATAAAGCTTTTAGCATGAGTCACAAGTCATCTCCAAGTTTAGTTGACAGCAATGCAAGAAAATTCATCCCTTCTTATAAAAAAACCGTAAGCCGGTGGCTGCTTAAAACTATAAGATCCTGGATTTGCCTAACTAAACATATACGAACTTGTTAACTGTAATGTTGATATGCAAGTGTATATATATCAACAAGGATACTACTACAGAATGTCAGGGCTTAGCTTGCCGGTTAAGCGATGTCGAGATCGAAATATTCAGTATTACAACTTGCCCAGTTGGATATAGCCCTGATATAGGTGACTTTAGCACGCATCTTTGGCATTCGACATTCTGGATTATGGAAGATAATGCCTCCACTAGAGTTGTGGGTAACCGCCAAAGCTCTCCAGACATAACAATGCGAGTTCACAGCTTCCCCATACTAGTCTCCATTGACAGGCCTCTCGACTTCGTGACTGGCCCGGATTCACGTAATTTCCCGACTGAAGCGGCGATACTAGCACCAAGGTGCGATTCCACTCTTAACGCCGATTCATGTTATCCCCTAACCAGGGATCTCAACCAGGAGATCGACGAATAGTAAACACTCAAAGCGGAAAAAAGTAGGAGCACTTAAGATCCTGCTTCTTCTCTGGCGCAACCAAACTCTGGGCTGCGGTCAAATCACTGTCAAATGTGAAAAGACGCGATTACTGTGTGGAACTTTCATTCGGTCACCGCACCTCGTCGGACACGAAGAGATGCGCGTGCTATTTTAGCCGACTTTTCACACTGCATCCTTCGGTAGACAAATCAAAGAGACGTGTAGCCCGCCGTATGCGCAAACTGCCAAACACAAGCGCTGCGCTTGATTTCTCCAGGGAGGAGGTACAAGGGGTCATCGGGAAGGCGAAAGCCTCAAGCATCTAGGACCAGAGGGAGCAGAATTTCTCTCGAAGGGCCTCAATTTGTCTTTGACCACCCTAATGATACCTGTCGTGTGGAAAATAGGCAGGATGGTCCCGCTACTCAAATCGGGGAAACCAGCCAACAAAGCTAAATTTTGTCGGTCGATGACTCTCCTATCCCCAGTAGCGAAAACACTCGAGGCCTTACTGCTTCCGGCTTGAACTAGATGTGAAGGTCGATGACACAAAACTTCCGACTGTAAATAACCCAAAGATTTCACTCCGCATACGACCGCAATTGCAGCAAAATTCCAGAGCCGCAACAAAATACTCAAAGCGTTAGCCGGCAGCACCTGGGTAAGGACAAAGAAACTTTGCTGGCCAATTATAAAGCAATTGGCTGAACCTCCACCTAGGCACGTCAGAAAGGGAGTACTAGATTTAAAGGACACAATCCAGCAACGTGTGCAACAACCGCTGGGCAGGACGGCGTACAAACAAACACTGAACACTATTCACCAGGAGTCAGTCAACACCTTCAAAGACTCCCTTCCAGTGAACGACGTGTTCGGAGAAAAATCACCACCCATAGCACACAACGAGCTCGAACTGCCTCGAGAGACCTGCGTTACCTTGGCACAACTTAGGTCTGGATATTGTAGCAGGTGAAACTCCAGACTCGACCCCAGTTTATCCATCGTATGCCCTGCATGTGTAGAGTCTCCGCACGACACTAACCACCTCTTCACATGCCCTCTCAAACCAACTCATCTAACCCCCTTCTCCCTTTGGTCCAACCCCGTCGAAACAGCGAACCGCTACAACAACAACAACAACAACAACAACAACAACAATGAAATAATCTCTCAGAAGCCAAAGAAGTTTTTCCGGTTTTTTTTTTAATTCCTTTTTTTTGGCGGAAAATGTAAAAAAAAATATTTAGAAAATAAGGAGAAGAAGAATAAGGAGAAGGTGTCAGCTGAAAAAAATCGGGCACCAAATTTATGCTCCTTTTTATAACTGCTGTAGTAAATGTGACAAGGACCCATACTTGTCTCGTCCATTGCATTTCTCCAATGACTGCGATGGCAGCCTTTAATCTTTTGAGAACATCAACCAGCTGGGCAGTGCAAACTTCCTAATCAAGGGACCGAACATTCCAGGTGCATGTCTTCAAACCATAAATATGATAAACGTTGGTCGTCATCAAAATGGGGGTCTTATATAAGCCTTTTTTTAGATTTTTGATTTGACAACTGCATGCGATTCGATTTCTCACTTTAGCTCGCCTTCAAAAATATGTTTGTCGGCTACCCAGAGGATACTTGGTCTAAAACCGGAAGTCGTGAGCTGCTGGACCATATGTAAAACAAAACTTTTCTAACGTACATGAACTTCTACCTATCCTTTTATAGATGGATTATCTTTCCAAAAATAGCAAAAAATGCACATAGTAGAGAGCAAAGTTTTCACTATTTGCCTACTGAGATAAGCACCGTCCGATCATTCATGTTTTTCCCAATAATATCGGTAGCCATACTTTCTCAAATAGGAGAAACCTCATTTTTTATGATTTTCAAATTTTTTTCGGTAACAACCAGGTAATAATGCGTAAAAAAAAACTTTTTATTACATATTAACAAACAATTCAAAACTTACCAAATCTTTTCTTGAAAAATTCCTCGGGTAATTTTGCTGTTGGAAGAATAATTGTGCTTATTAGATATTATTAGCATTGAATAAAGTACTTCATAGATCATTGCAATCGAAAATAAACTAGAACTTTTAAAATCTTAGCATATAATTTACAGAAGAGAGAGCTTTTCATAAATTCAGCAATGCTTGTAATACTAGATATGACAGTGAGTACAAAAGCATTAAGCTATACTTTTTAACTAATTAAAACCAATTAGATGTTCATTAATACAACGAGAGATTAATATTTGTATAAAAAAGTTCACTCTTTGCAGACTAGAAACAGTTTTGTCATCGATCTAAACTGATGCAACATTATCATTACAGAATACAGCGTAAGCATTGTATACAAATGTATATAAAAACTAAATTTTGCTCTTAAATTTTTTTTCAGGCCAAAAACTTAAAAATTAGAGGGACGTACATCAAATGGTATATTAACTTTGTCCCAAAGTATGAGTTACAAAAGGAATCCTAATGTATACCAATCTCTAAGTTAATTTAGCCATGTCCGTCCCTCCATCTGTTTGTCCGCTAACGAGTCCCTCAATATTTCCACTAATCCTGGTACACAGGCGCTCTGTTATATTGAACCTCCCAAATCGGACCATTATAGCATTTATGCTTACGACAGATTTTCATATTTGAGATTATGGGGCACAAATTTAAAAAAAGGACCCATTACACGAGTATAATTTATTCCTCCTAACAATTTTTCAGGCACGAAAATTAACATTTCATTCTAGAATGAAATACCATACATTTGATATGGTCATGAAAGTTATAGACTTCGGCATGGCTGGGTCCGCTATGGCAAAAAAAAAAAACAAAATAACGACGGCAATGAGCATGAGCTGTTATTAAAGACAAGCTGGTCTCTTTATAATAAACAAGAGTAATATAAAAATATTTCGTTTTCCTGCCAACTGCTATTTAGGGTATTATTGTACCGCCCTTTCTTCTTATATTCAGTGCGAAGCTAATTAATGAGACAAGTACAAGAAAATCAGTATACATAAATTTATTCATTTTTGGGTAAGCAAAGATTGGCTGCATCGAGTGTATTTTTCACCTCCCAAGTGCACGTAATAAAAAATTAATTTAATAAGCCATTAGTCATATTTTTATTCCTTAATGAGTGTCACATAAATTTAGTTTAAGACGAGGTCCGATTTATATTTTAAGGTGTAATTTTCCTTTCTGAATAAATAATAAGACACCATGAGTGTAAATAAGTGAAATATTATTAGTTTTACGCACCTTTATACTTGTTATAAGCATGTAAATGCTTTTTCGTCATTTCATAGTGTCGTATCACATAAGATGATATAGTAATCAGTCCGTGGACTTCACACAATTCCTCATAATCTTGATTTTGTTCATTTAAGTAAAGAAACATTGTAAAGTCATTTATACCAGCCTGCAAGATCAATGAAACAGTTAAACTCATGCGTATAATAAATGATATTTTAGACTACGTAGTCCTATAACATTTATGAACACCGACTTTTTTGCTTATTAAGTACTATTTATCACATTTCTCTTGCTGGATATATCTTCACTTACATAAATATATCATGATTTGATCAACAGTAAAATTATTGCCTGCCTCGCAGTCTTCGACATAAAATTGTAATAAATTTTAATGTTCATGAACTTACCTCAAGTTCGAATTGTTTTAAAAGCCAAGATCCTCGATGTCTCAAAGCTTGTAAATATGATTTGCTGTCTTTGGATGCACGCATTATAATATTATTTAGTAACCGCAAACCCTGATATTAGATTTTTAATTTTAATCTAGCACGAAATGAAAGCACTTACCTGTACAAAATTAACACTTTGCAATAGTTGTATTGCGCATTTAAGACGCTCTTCTGCCGTAGAATTGTAACTAATAAGAAACTCCTCCGCTTCGTTATCCAGAATAGATAAAAACTTTTCAGTTTCCCTAAAAAAAATTTGTATAATTACCATGAAATAAAACTGGTGAACTATTATAATTATTCACATACTCAATGTTTTCTGCGTTTAAAGTATTTCGAAGCAACTTATATTCTGGCATATTTGTATCCCAGTATGCAGAGGGCGAAGGTAAAATCAACGGAATGCGATGCATCTTCGTCAATGATTAGTTTTACGTCTGTAATTTCTGGTATTAAAATATGTTAATATATTTAATTTTTATAAATATACAATAACTTTACCTAATTAAAATTAACGGGAATAAGCTTTACTTTTCAGTGTTACCAGCATTGATAAATTCTATTACGATACACTTGGAGAAAAGTTCGGTCACAAACAAATAATAATGAACCAATTAATTGAGTTTACATCCGGAAACTTTGTTGTTTTGGCTCACTACTCGTCAATAAGACTGATTAACCAGTGCTCGCTCAGTAGTTATGACAAGAATATATGTTATATAAGATTGAAACTAATTGGCAGTATATTATTGATTTTCTTCATAATTTAGAATAAAAGTTGTACTGTAATGCGAAATACTTATACTGCGACGACAAAGCCAAACACGAATGACAGATGAAAATGAGATTCCGATAACCAAAGGATATTTTGGAGCGCGAGATTCGAATATTCCGTATATCGTACGAGCAAGCCATTACTTAAAAAACCTGAGTACGAGCAATCGGTAAGGTATATAACGGAGCGTCTAACGAATAATTAGCTCTATTATGAAGTGAACTCGGTCACGACAACATCGGCAAAGAGTATAGCAGAATAAACTGTGCATATATAGCGATGTTTAATTAAACAGTAAAACGTGTGTGAAAATAGTCAAGTGTTAGAATTGTAGATTAAGGGCCGTTTTCACCCTCTCCGGTTGAGCACTTAATCATAACTTTCGGCCTTATTATGTATTGAGAACGAAAAGTTTATCGAACGCATCGTCTCCGCACGATTTCGTACAGTATTGACGTGAGCAGTAGCGAGACGTAAGTTGATCCAATAGAATGAACACTACATAGGAGTATTTATTGAATTACTTCAATGGACCATCTGTCCACAAATATTTGAGTGTTTCTATATTGTCAAAGGTTTTGATATTGTCACAGAATATTTTTTGAAAAATATGCTGATATGAGGTAAATTTTATACTTTCTTTGGAGATTAAAAGGTAGTGGCAAAAATTTTAAATTCAGTAATTTTAGATTTTAGACAGCTAATGCAAAATGATGTCTATATTATAAAATTCCACGTGATAAAGAATGAATTATTTCAAAAATAAATTTCTCATAGAATTAGGAGCAATAGGGTCTAAATAGTGCGAAGAGCCATGCATGGAAGTGCAAACCATAAAAAGGTTTTGATTTAATAAAGTTTGAAATGCATTGCTATTCATGTAATAAAAATAATTTCTATTACAAATTCATTCTTCTTTGTGCTCTTCGCATATTTTGACGTTTTGTTTAGCTGTGGTGTCACCTTTCCTTCATGTTAATAAAATAAAAATGACCGTTGTCGATTATCGTAAAAACTGAGTTAGAGAATCGCATAATCGTTAGCGCAAGCGACGAAATTCCGAACTTTCCATAACTTCTCGATATACAGCTATTATTAAAAAAAATTCTGTCATGTCCAGAACCAGGTCACCTGCATACAAAGTCCATTACGTTCTGCTTCGATAACTTTCTGCATTTTCTTTCCCAGGTGATTGGATACTAACATGAGTGTAATCTAAACACCCCAAAACCTTTGGAAAGTTCGCTATTCGTTGAAATGTGCGCATTGTGCTTTCAGCTTCCCTGCTTTATTCGGTATTCTGAGAAATCATCGGACAAGTGCCGCGGTAGCAATGGATACTATTTACCACCCGAGTGGCAGTGGCCACTTTTATCGCGCCCAACAAATACAAACATACAAATACATGTTGTTGCGATTTTGCTAAATCAACCTCGATGATTTTCTAAATCCTTCAGGTACGATCTCTGGATTGTTAAATAAAAAATCGCCAAATTAATTTGCAGTTTCTTTCGTTATAAAGAATTAATCTAAATTCCTTTATTTTCTCCGTAATTCACAATTCCATTATAATGCACTTTACTATTTACAATCACTAGCATCAACTTTCACAATTTACTCTATTTAAATGTAATCTCCAACGCGTTTACTTTACGACTTTACTGATGTTAACGCCAACGAGTTCACTTTGTAACTAACTTGACTTGACAGTCGGCTGCTCGTAGACGAAAGTGTATAATACTCGATTTGTTCGCTATCGAAGATTCTCGTTCTAAACTCAGCAAGCCTCTCAGGGTGGACCACTTTCATCTTGTTTCTTGGACTCCCAACGGTTTGGATCCGATACACCACGTCGTTTAGCCGTTTGATTGCCTTGTATGGACCTTCCCAATTACATTGAATTTTTGGGGACAAACTCCTCTTCCGTTGTGGATTGTACAGCAACACCAAATCTCCATTTTGGAAACCCTCGGAGCTCATCGCCTTGTCATACCTGGCCTTCATTTTGTTTCTTAGCTCTTAGCTCGAGATCGGTAGACGTTACCTTCCCTATTCTGCTCGCATCACCAGTTATTCCAAATTTTAAATCGCTAGGCAACCGTAGTTCACTACCAAACAGTATCCTCGCAGGTGTTTGCCCTGTAGTTACATGCACGGCGGATCGATATCCCATCAAGAAAAGCGGTATATGCACATCCCAATCATCCTGATGCTTGTCCACTACTTT